TGGATGGATGGATGGATGGATGGATGGATGGATGGATGGATGGATAGATAGATTGGCTGGTTGATGTCTTGTGCAAAATAGGATTGACACTGTAACACTGGTAACAATTGATAATAAATATAATAATAATAAAAAAAAAAAAAAAATTAAATTCATTTAATAAAGGTTGAATGAATGAAAAAAATAAATAGGATAAAGCAGGTTAAACTAAGATATAGATACAAATTCTTTCTTTGTCATTTGAAAGTTCTTTGAAGTATTCTGAAGTTTGCCTGAGTTTTTAGGTACTTGTTTTTATGTAAGAATAACTTTCCGGAGGTGACAAATTCATCGATCGTTACTTGTGTTTTGATTGTGGCAAACAGGCTCTTCCGGGTTTCTTCCGGGCTTGACAACCGACCAATCAGAAAGGAGCTCTATGTCGTCAATGAGCATGCGCATTAGGGTCCTCTTCGTGGCAGCGTTCAGTGGCAACACAGTTTAGTAGAGCAGCTTGCTCGGCTCTCTACCGTCAGCATCATCATCACCGCGCTCCACCGGGGCTGGTCGCAGAGAGAGGATGGTCCACCGGAGCATCAGCCGCGGAACCGAATGACAGTTGTGAGACAATGGCCGTCGATGTGCGCAAGTTCCCAAATGTGTGAGTAAATCCTCGAAGATTTGATGTTGCCCCGCTGTACTGTCGGTAGTTGAAGCTAACGCCGCGCGCGCTAACGTTCGCGGTGAAGCTCGCTCTGCTCGTTGTTTGGGTGTAAACGCTTCCCCATGGCTCCGACACATCCTGGCTGGGAGTGATACGAATAATGAAAACGGCAACAGAAAAGGTATTACAGCATTGTGGAGCCCCTGTGTTGTACAGTCTCGTGGCCGCAGGGTTAGAAACTGGGCTGTGTTGAAACAAAGGAGCTTTAAAAAACGAGGGGCCGCATGGACAAACACATGCAGAGAGAAGTCTGCTGCTGTTTGTTTTGTGCTCCATTTCACGCTGACACACTTTGGAGGATAACCACCCGAGGTCTGACCTACATATTTAGCCAGAAACACTGCGACCTAGCTAATTTTGGTCAAAGTCACTCCTTACACAGCTGCTGCTTTAGACTCCGGCAAGTTTTTATGTCTCTTTCGGCAAAAACACTTCGGTCCTGCAGCATAGACTGAGCTGATGGGCAACTTTTCACGCTTTAGGTGTTAGTTTTAGTTCGTTTGTTTAGGACAGGTTTAAAGTGACAGCAACAATGTTTTGGTTGAATGTACAGACAGGTGGACATACTAACAAGGCCTTGCTCCTTGGATTCCTGTCAGTGCATCAGGACTCTCATCTCAGCCTTTAAAACTTTTCATTAATCTAAAGTACATGTTATCATGATGCTAATGTCTTGACAGGATGGACAGAAAACCTGAACGTGCCTGAAGTTCCTAAATCACTCTACAGATATTTTAATTTGCAGTGACTTTGATTTTATTTAATTTTTAAACAAAACTGATTATTTTTTCAAGTCCTGTCTTTATAAAAGTGCGTGACTTCTCTCAAACTGACAGTAATGCGAATTAAACGTGAAATTTCAACAGCTCACAAACTATTATATTGTGACTGACTTTTTAAAAATGTAACCTCAATGTGTAACTATGACAACAGTTTGCTTGCAACCCTGATTTAACTAAATCTTGATGAATTAAAATCCCGTCAGTCCTTGAAGGAATGCATATCACCTGAGATGAGATTCTGCACGATCTCATGCATTTCTCATGTGGCCTGTTAGCCCTCAGAACGTGTATTGTGAATGACTGTCTGCTACTACCACACCACTTTACACTTGTGTAAAGGTCCAAGGTTGATTATCTGTGGCAGCCATCTTGAATTTGGTTGCCTTCAAAAGTTAATCAGTTGTAGTTGCTTTCATTGAAACCTATTCAGTGGTTCATGAGATATTTTGCTAACAGACAGTCCAACAATGCCAAGTGTGAAACAGGGATCTTGCATGCTCAGTTAGCACTCAAAGTAAAAGTTGGTGATTAGTGTCAGCTACTACTACACTGAATCGTAGCTAAATATCGGTTGTAGCCATTTTTATGTTGGCTGTGGCAGCCATCTTGAATCAGATTGATTCTAAAAGCATATCAGCTGTAGATGATTGATTACTTTGAGTTTTGTTAAAATCCATTCAGCTAAATGGTTAACACATTTTAAAGTGATCAGTGACTCCTGATGAGTTCAGGAGTCATTAGATTACAGTGCACCTAAAACAGGGACAACATTTGTACAGTTGCTGTCTAAGCGAACATCTGACTAAATTTGGTGTAAACGTGAAAGTTTTGGAGACGTCCGAAATTAGTTGCGGTGGTTCAGTATACAAATCTAACTAAAGGCTGTTTTTATGACTAAATGTGTAGTAGTGACGACACAACCTAAACTTTAGACTTTTCCATTGAATCTGTGGTGCAGTTAAACCCTTTATTTGTTGTTCAAGTAAACTTTATTGCCTTACCATCTGATGTGGTACATGAGGTGGAACAAAATTATGTACTCAGGGTCCTAGTTACACCCCAAAATAGCTAAATATAAAGTATAAAAAGAAACACTAGATAAGGATCTAAGATATACACTAAAACACCAAATGGTACGCTAAAGTAGCTAAGATAAACACTAAACACTAATAATGTAAAACAATATGGTGTAAAAATAGCAGCCCAAACATGAGTCTGTGGTGAGCAGATGGGTATGAATGAATACAGCAGCATGAGATAATCAGCAGCATGAGATAATAATAATAGCATGAGATCAGCAGCATAAGATTGATATTCATCCAAAACCATTAAAAGAACGTGTTTCATTGCCTGAAGCCGAACACTAAAGGCAATAATGTTTTTGCTCATATCCGTTCATTTGTCTGTACTGTTAGCAAAATATCTCATGAACCTGTTCATGGACTTTAACACAATTCTCAGAAAGTAATCATTGGGTGTGTGCATCTACAACTGGTTAAATTTTAAATTCAACCCCATTCAAGATGGCCGCCACAGCTTATCAACATTAGCCAACGCTAAAATCTCTATAACTTGTTCAATTTGACTGGTATTTAAGGAAAAAGTAGCGTGGTAGTAGTTGAGAATCCTCCCCAACGCTAAGTGGTGTGCTAACGATTGGCTGAGAGCTGTTTTTAACAGTTTGTCATTAGGTATTGGAGGCAAAATATCTTATGAACTGCTGGACAGATATTAAAACTACCGTTGACAGGTTGGGGGTGACATGCAGGTCTTTGTTAAAAAGAAGAAGTAATGGTGTTTCTCATTTCTTTTCTGTCCGGGTCCAATCGCTCACAGTTTCTGGTCACATGTGTTTAATCACCGTCTTTATCAATGTGCTCTGCTTCATTTCCTCCATCCTCCCCTCCTCTCTCTCGTACTCACAAACTGTCCGTCCTTTTCTTAACCGCACACACCACGACACCCAGTAATGATGGCAGTGTGTGAGGATGTGCATGTGCCTGTGCACATACGGGGCCGTTGAGGGTATCATTACAGTCTTCATTCTAAGGCCATCTGTCTGGCCTTCACAAAGAGCCCCTTTTTAGACCGGCTACAGTTGGCCGCTGGCTGGTCGGGCTCTGGAACATTTGAATAAGGCAAATGGCTGCCCCCCCCCCCCCCACACACACACACACACACACACACACCTTTTTTCCCCCCTTACATGCTGACAAATGGGGAAACTGCTCCCTGGCAGATGAGAAGTAAGGGGCCGCACAGAAGCTACAGGAGGATAATAATCAAATGTTTTAAAAGTTCTGCGCCCAACTCTGCGTTTTGTTTGTATAAAGCATGACGGTAACGTGGGGGTGGGGGGAGTTTACAACATTTACTGGTAATGGGTCAGTCTGTCTGCTTGGCTCTGTTTTGAGTAAAATGGTTTACTTCCAGCTCACTTCACCACTCACCAGTGTCTTATCTGCAGCGTCTCCCTGCATCTTCTACTAAATAAGGGCAGAAGGAGAACCTTGGGATAACAAGTCCTGAGTTTGGCAGTATTTGTGCGATTATCTACTCGAGTATGCTCAGACTTCACACGTCGTCCAACGGTCAGGTGGAGCTGAAGCGCAGTTTCGCTTCAGGATCAAGGCAACACTTGCCTCTAAAAGCCAACTAACCCAGTGAGCAACAGACACGACTTCAAGGTTGAGTCTAGTCGTAGCTCTCATTTAATCCTCAATATTTTTAGCTAATTTAGAGCACAATTGTCAACACAATTTAAAGTTCCTGTGAACACAAAGCAGGATTACAAACCTGCCTAAAATGTCTAGTTAAAGACCTGAATGCCTGAGAACTTTTCCCCCTCACCTGGAAGCTGAAACAGGACACGTTAGTGGTTATTACGAGGCCATATACATTTTAATGACATGAAACGAGATACTATTTAACTCTCATTTAATAAGGGCTGTGCTGGCCATCTTGAATTATTAGAAAATGTTCTGTCCAGTGGTTTATGACATATTTTGGTAACATCACACCCATGAGCAAAAAAGCTTCTTGCTCTTTCGCCTCCGGCAGCAGGTGATGCCGTATTTTTCGGACCATAAGGCGCATTAAGCGAAACAAAACAGTCAGATAAGTCAAACTTTATTCAACTCATTCACAATAACCACATAAAATCGGTTCGAGGTCGGTAAACACAACCAGAATGAATACATAAGGCGCACCGGATTATAAGGCTCATTGTCGATTTTTTTTTTTTTTTTTTTTTTTTGAGAAAATGAACGGATTTTAAGTGCAACTTATAGTCTGAAAAATACGTTAATTAAACAAACTTTTACAAACGGGGGAAAAAATGGGAGGTGTATAAGCTGTTGCTGGGGAAGCAGCCACGGTTGTGATTCTTTGGTTTTGCTCCTGCGAGGTGAAGTAAAACTGCTTCGGCTCACAAAGTGCTGCTTGGTGTAACCTTTGCTCAAACCCTCAGTGGCAGAAAATCATTTAAACTGTGGAAAATAAGCAGATATTTCAGAAATAGCACCTCTCTTGGGGTCACGGAGGCCAGCTGTTGTAGTATTGATCATGCTTTTTATCATCTAACTAACAAATCAATGGCTTGGATATCATTAACCCACTCTTCCAGCTTGGCCTCTTTATAATTATCTCTCTGCCTTTCTTGCGTCTTGCGTCTCTCCCTCTGTTTCCTTTCACGTCCGGTAAGATAACATCCTTTCTGCAGCACATCAGCTGATCAATCGATGCACTGATTGATTGAGCCTCTCTCACTTTTCTCTTCCCAACTCTCATTTCTCTCTCTCTCCTTTATCGTGACCTTTACAATCGTTCCCTCCACTTATTCTTCTAAAATCTCCTTTTATGTGTCAATTTCTTCCAATAACTCTTCTGTCTGCGTCTCATTTGTGTACAGGGAAGGAAAGCACAGAATCATGTTGCTTTAAATAGTGACCTGTGGTGAACGGGGGAGGCAGAAGAAGACGAGGAGGAGGAAGAGTGAGGCGTAGGCAGGCAAAGAGCGATCTGCCACTGCTCCCAGCAGGTGGCCTCTTTGCGAGCAGGAAGTGATGGGCAACGCCGCCACCAAGTTCCGCAAGGCGCTCGTGAGCGGCGACGAGGCTCTGGCCTGGCAGCTGTACGAGGGCAACCCTCAGTTCAGGGACGGCCTGGACCCGAACGCGTCGTACGGGGAGCAGTACCAGCACAACACACCTCTGCACTATGTATGTCGCCACGCCATGACACGTCTGCTCAGGTAAAACACCTTTTCTGGACTAAACTTCGTTTTAAAGGTTTGATTTCTGCATTTCTGGTCAGTAATCGGACACATAAAGGCACCGAGTCACAATGATTTAGAATAATTGAAAAAATATTTATCAGTATGCCAAATGTAGTGTTGTGTTTTTAAATTCAATAAAACATCTGAGGGCAGGCGCTGCAACCTCTTTAGCCTCTCTGGAATGGCTCTTCGTAGCTTTGACCGGAAATAAAAAGTGCACCGATTAAAAACCTGTTGTTAGCCGAATATATTTTATTCGATATAAAAAATGCAAACTACAACAATCACTTCCTTGTGCTACCAGTTTTCTAACTACAGCTGTTCTGGTGCAGGCCTTGAACTGATTTAAACCACCTCTTATTCAGGAAAAATGGTTTTAGATTGGCACAGACTGTTTGCCAGCTGTAACATTGTTGCTGGTTAAAGCTCTATCATGCAACAAAGAAGCCATTCAGTATGTGAGCACCATCCAGGAACACAGCTGTCTTCTCTGGTCCAAACTATGTTTCCCCCTGTCAATAAAATATGGGTTTATGAGATTAGCAAGTTAAAACATCTTGCAGGTGTGTTTTACAAATTCAGGACGTGGAGCAAATGAAGGTGCATCTATTTGTGTGGGTCACTTTGCTTTCTCAGTTCTCTGTTGTTGTGAGCGTACCTTCCTGTTTAATGAAAGTGCAGTGCTGAGTTCCTACAGTACATGTGTAAATATAGTTTTAGGTTTTCATCTGCTGCGTTGTACAGTTGGAAGTCACACTATTTCATCGCACCGTCCGCTAAACTGTCAGCAACGTATGACAAGTAAATAACCAGAAACAAGAGGTGCTATTTCTAGTTGAACCAAAACTAAAGAGGTCACACTTGAGGAATGAGACACCACGTCCTGCTGAGATCATTAAGCATCTGATCATGACCAGGACCAGCTGATTCTGTGACTCAGTATCCTTTTATCTCCTCATTTTTCTCCTCTCGCTCACGCTTTTTTTTTTTCCACGGTCGCAAAGAATTAAAAAAAGGGGGGGGGGGGGGTGTCAGAGGAAGCTGTCTGAAAAGGCTGGTCAATTATTCGTGCATGCATGTGTGCACATGAGTGTCTGTTTTTTGTGGTGGGGAGAGACTGTGACTCCACAACTGCTTAACGTGCCCGAGTCTGAGAATATTGCTCAGCGAATCAATCCGTGTGCTATTTGTGTTCCTTCCTACTGACCTATAATGGGCCGGAGAGGCGTGCTGAACGTGGCGCTCCGCTCCCGATAAGTATCTGAGGAAATGCTTCTCAGCTGGACGGAGTCGAACGGGAAAAAACCCCCTCAGACCAAATAAAAATAAAAAAAAACGACTAAAGTAGTTTGGTTGAAGTAGAATCTGTTTTTTTTCTTCCCCCTTTTGAGTTATTTCTAAAGCGTGTCTGCTTGTCGTCCCTGTGGGTTGGTTTTGGCATGTAATCCCACGAGAAGTGAGAAATGGGAAGCAACAGATGCACCTATTACTGGAAAAATGGGTGTAGCTCAGGAAGCGGAATCCTTCCTCCGTAACAAGTGAGTTGGCGGTCTTAGACATATGTCAATAATCACTGACTCACCGGGAGCCGTTTATTTCTGTTGTTTTAACAAGCAACACGTGAAGGACACGTCTGTGTCCAACGCAGCTCTTAGTTTATTTACACCAAATTTAACAGTATTTTTGCTGCGTTTTCAACTCTGGTGATTATCGATGCGTGCAGTGATTAGAGCGAAGCTGCAGGAGCTTGTGGCTGGTGGGACAAAGAGGGTCAGAATGACGGAATACACGGAGCTGCACTTTTAGAAAATGTGATTTGATAGATTCTTCCGCTGCATCCAGAAATAACCCATCACATCCTGTTGTTTTCTTCTTTTATTTACACTAGAAGTTGTTTTGTATGCAACACTGTTCACATTGCAGTGCTGATCCAGAGGAAGCACTTCTTTCAGAGTCGGTTCTGTGGAGCCAGACAACACAAACTGACCAGTTAATGGAGGTTTTGATATATAAACAGAATTTAAATTATTTGCTAAACAGAACAGCAGCCACATCCTGTGTCTGTGTGTGTGTGTGTGTGTGTGTGTCCACCAGCATGTCCATTAGATCAGTGATGTTGAGCAGAATGAGTCAATATTTTTCCATATCGCACCCCCCCATGTTTAATCATTCTGACATCTCTTGTTTATCTGCATCGGTGTTTTCTACTTTTCTTTTCATCCATTTTGCTTCTGTTTTTGTCCTTTCTGGCCACTTTCATGTCTGTTTCATTTATCGTCTTCTTAATCAAATAGGTCCTTCCTGTTCAGCAAAGAGGGAAATCCTAACAAGCGAAACGTGCACAACGAGACGTGCCTCCATGTGCTGTGCCAAGGCCCGCAGATCCTGCTGCTGCCAGAGGGGGCGCTGTCGCCGCGACTGGCCCGACCACAGAGGGACGAGCAGCGCCGCGCAGACTGCCTTCAGGTACAAACAGCACGAGCATCCACAGGACGCAGCGGGGACACGAGTGTGACGAGTTCTGTTTGCTCAGATGATCCTGAGCTGGACTGGGGCCAGACTGGAGGGAGGCCAGTATGAGAAGGCCAACGTCAACGCCACCGACAACCATCACAGCACCTGTCTGCACTACGCTGCTGCTGCAGGCATGAAGAGCTGCGTGGAGGTGAGACGCTCTCATCAGATGAAGCTCCTGGATCTAATCTGTTTTATGAACATTCTTACAACGGATAGTTTCCTCTCCTCAGATGTCATCTACTCTTTTATTTATTTTTAATAATTTTCACAGCTTTGGAGTTAGAGGGAACATTTACTGCCTGAACTGAGAAAACTAACTTATTTTTACTGTTCGCCACTTTCAAAGACCGTTCACATCGTTTTGTGTCGACTTGCTTGCCAATTTATTAACTGATGTGTGAAATGGAGTCGGCTTTATCTAAACATTCAGCTCGATCAGAAATAGTGCGTTATAACTTTAGATTTTCATAACACAATGTTGCACTTTATTAAAAATAACAATTCTCATAGAAATACATGAGACTCCCTTCAGTTCATTGTTCTCTGCTTCACCAGACGCTCTATTTTCATCTTTTTGATGCGACTTTTAGCTTTTGGCTTCCATTTTGCCAATTTTAGTTATCGCTTTGGTACCTTTAGCTAGTTTTTCCTGTCTGATTTGTTTTGTTAATTTAGTTTTGCTAATATTCACTTCAGTTTGTCTAGCTTTAGCAACTGTTTTGCTAACGTTTACTTATTTTGTTCCGCTGCTTTTTATTTTTTCGTGTTTGTTTTGCTCATTTCTACCAGTTCTGCTTGTGTTCACGAACAATTCAGTTTTAGTTTCTTCAGCTACTTTTAGCAGCCGTTCAGCTCTTAACGTTCTCTCGTTTTATTAAATTGATAATCCTGTTTTCTTCTTTTCTGTTCTTTCCCTCGCTAGTTGCTGATCCAGAGCGAAGCGGACCTTTTCGTAGAGGATGAGGACAAGTTGACGCCGTGCGACCATGCCGAGCGGCACCACCACACCGAGCTGGCTCTCAACTTGGAGTCTCAGATGGTTTTCTCTTCCGCCTCGTTGCAGCAGTCAAATAGAGATGCACACGGTGAAACGGGCCTGCTGCAATACAAGGAGGTGAGACGACAGGAGATCCTGCTGACTGGAATTTTTACACAAAAATTTTTACACCTTTTAGATAGAGCTGGACAATAATTCGATATCGATATATCTCGCAATATACTTTTATTCAATAATGATGATATGAGTTTTAAGCACATTTTTGATATTTCTATAGGATTACAGCATTTCACTGACATTTCTTTTTCTGTTCGGGTTGAAGCGGCCAATCTAATCTCCAATGCGCGTTAAGTTTTTGCTTCAAAATGATCGTCGGAATGTGACTGAACAATCTTTCACAAGCGAAGAGAAAGCAGATGACATCACTGATAAGAGAGGAAAGACTAATTCGCTGGTTTGGAAGTGGTTCGGCTTTCTAAGATCCGATAAACTGCAGGTTTCAGTCAGTGTGCTGCAAAATGTGATCGAGAGTTGTTCTAACTAGCGGTGGGAACAACAACTTGTTCCACTTGACAGAATATGATGAGTCACAAGATGAAGCACAATAAAAGTTTGAGCCAACGTGTCCCTGAAACACCCCCAGCGCTGCATTTTTTTTTTGTTTTTTTTTATCATTTTTTTCCATTCATTTAAAATAAAACAAATTCACCAGAAAGAAAAAAAAAACATTGAATGAAAAGGTTGAAGAAAGAAGAAAAAAATTCTTATCTACCCCTAATTAAAAAAATACAAAATAACTAGAAACAAACAACAACCTTGACTTGAACAATCTCCAAACTGAAAACAAAAAACTTCAGGTATCCTTCACCTGGTACTAAACCTTCCCAACAACTTTAACTATCATCTTTTTAATCATATACATTGTTTTAGAAATGTTTATGGTGATATCAAGACATTTCCATAATATTCCCTGAATTACAACACAACTCCTTCAGACTAGTTCTAAATGGAGGTTTTACAAACATTTCCATTCCCTTAAGTTATATTGACTCTCCTTTTTTTATATTTATTTTTTACAAATTTTAATTGAATATTTGGGGCTAATATTTTTATGAGCTTTATGCATGACTTGTAAAATACTATATTCAACCAAATCACAACATTTTAATAATTTAAATTGATGAAATAATATATTTGTTGGGTGACCATAGCGCTTCATAATACTAATAATTCTTATAGCTCTTTTTTGTAAAAATAAAAATAGGATTTGTAATAGTTTTACTTGCTTTTCCCCAAACTTCATTACAATAGATTAAATATGGAACAATCATTACATTGTACAATATATACAAAGCTTTGTCATTCAAAAACTCTTTTACTTTATACAGTAATGCAACTGATTTTTATTTTTAAATATTTTACATGAGACTTCCACGTCAGCTTCTCATCAATAACGAGACCCAAAAATTTTATTTCATTAACAACAAATTTCAATGCTGTCAATTTTAAAGTTGTTGTTTAAAGTTAAAACTATTAATATTGACAAAGTTGAGAATTTTATGTTTATTTGACAGTGATTTCAATGTTTTTGAAGGCTAAATACAAATAAAAGGTGAACATTAATTTATTTGTATAGCTTGTAATTTTTCTGAGGCTTTTATATTGTTTATATCGATATCGAGTTATATCGTTATCGACCGAAATTAAGAGATATATCGTGACAAAAGTTTTGGCCATATCGTCCAGCCCTACTTTTAGATCACTTTGTTAGTAGACCAGTGGCAGATTTTCTAGGAAACACTGAATCCTGCGAGGAAGTTATTTTCTTTATATTGACATGCATTTGTGTTTTATTTAACTTATTTTGTGGAAGTTTGTTTGCAAACTCTTAACCAGACTTGTTTGTGTTTCTTTTTTTTTTTTATTGTTTCCTCTTAAAAAAAAAAAAAAAAATTCTATGTACCATATTTTCCGCCGTACATGTCACTCCGTGCATCAGTCCAAATATGTCCAATAAAGTGGAAAAATCCATAAATGTGTCGCTTCGCCGTATAAGTCACATCTATTATGCGTCACCGCTGACAACCTGGAAATGTGGGCCGGTGTTGTGCCAAAAATCGATTACTGCCAAAAGGCGGCCGCGAGAGCGTGCACGGGAGGACTTTTACAAGAGTTTAACAAGATAAACACTTAAAAACAATTATTTGTTTGCTTGACTTTATAGTAAATGTGTGTCTCAGTCTAACGTTTGCTTAATAAAAGGACTTTAACAGTCAAATCAGCTGTAGTTCAAAAGTATCCGCTGCATCGGTGCTCCCGGGAGAACGCAGACAGGGAGGGAAAAAAGGAAGGAGGAACACTGCGTTTCTTCGAAATTTAACATGAAAAGCACCTAATACAATTATTTGTTTGCTCGAAATTATAGCAAAGGTGTGTCTCAGTTGAACTTTTACTTAATAAATGCACTTTAATGGTCAAATTAGCTGCATTTTGTCGGGGTGGTGCAGCGAAATTAAGCTGACTCGACGGTTGCTCCAAGCAGCGAGCAGAAGGTGTCGGAATATGGCAAGCCGATTGTGTCATTAATAGCTGGTGAAGATTCTTAGTCATCCAGGACATGGTAAATTCAAAAAAGTTCAAGACAAAAACAATAAAGTATAAAGTTAAGTATAATAAATAAAGTCCAGTTTTTGTCTTGAACTTTTTTGAATTGGTCATTATAGGCACCTTTACCTACTACATGATAAAATGGCTTGCCATACAGCTTGATCGCCATCTAGCAGCTGAAAATGGTAGTGTTCAATATTTTCAATGCCAGAATGAATGAAAACAGTCATATCTCAGCCAAAAATTATTTTATAAATATGAGAAAACATCCATAAGTGCGTCGCTTCGGCCTGTAAGTCGCAGAGCATGCAAATTATGCAAAAAACTGTGATTTATAGGGTGAAAAATACAATATATGAATATCCTGATGCATGCTCAATAATCCAGGTAGAAAAATCTAAAAAAGTTTAGAATCTAAATAAATCTTAAAAGAGGACCAGATTTAACTTTTTTAGACAATATATGAATGTTCCTGTAAAGTGCCCTGAGACAACTTTGTTGTGATTTGGTGCTATATAAATAAATTGAATTGATGTTTCTTCAATGTACAGAAAGTAGACTATAGGTTTTAAAGCAAAACCTTTTTAATGTTCACACTCTTCTACAGTCGTCCTCACAAACCAGCCTGTGTTTCCAGAGAACTGTGATAAAGTTACACTAACACAGTTTCTGCTTTCTCTTTTGCACAATAAAGAAACATGAAAGTAAAAAGATGCACAGTAATACTTCCTCATAGATGTTCATACAGTTTATTTAAGATTGTGAAATATTTCAGGATCCAGGATCCAGCAGCCATTTAGAAACTTTTCCGCTCTGTTTGCCGCTCGGCGATTGCCGTAGTTTTAAGTTTGTGGTTCAGATGATTTCCAGTTCAGAGCATGTGCTTTCATTAAAGGTCAATACTTAGTGATTCCTACAAGTACAAGAGTGTACACACCTCACTTCCTTTTCTCCCCGCACAGCCAGACACCAGCAGCTGTTGCCAGCTGATTGCACTTTGCTCTTTCTTCCTGCAGCCAAATCTATGCTAATATTTAATCTCTCCTTTCCACAGCCGCCCCGAACCTGACTGTTCCACTGCTTTTCATTTTTAGTTCTTAAATATTTGTTTGCTGTACCTCTTTGCCCTTTCAGCCTTACGAGGGGCTGAAGCTGCAGGATCTGCGCAGGCTGAAGGACATGCTGATCGTAGAGACGGCAGACATGCTGCAAGCCCCGCTCTTCACTGCCGAGGCCTTGCTTCGAGCGCACGGTGTGTTTATTGGAGAGAGATGACTTTCACGGCCGTTCTGTGATTATGATGGCATAAAGTATTTCTGTCTTCACTCGTCTTTCTTTCAGACTGGGACAGAGAAAAGCTTCTTGAAGCCTGGATGTCCAACGCTGAGGGCTGCTGCCAGCGCTCCGGCGTCTCCATGCCGACCCCGCCGCCCAGCGGCTACAACGCCTGGGACACCCTGCCATCTCCCCGCACTCCGAGGACACCGCGATCACCCCTGACCCTCACCCTCACTTCACCCACCGACAGCTGCCTCACGCCTGGAGAGGAGGGCCTGGCCACGGTGAGCAGAGGGAGAACGGACAGAACTTTTATCCAAGTAAAATTAGGTTGAAGTACAAAAATATAGTTGCTCTCTTGTCTCACCTTCTTAATAAGCTGCATCTTTTTGTTGAAATTTGTCAACATCAATGACATTTTGGAATGTAGCTCTAGCTTGAAGGGTAGAAAATTATTAGGTTGTTGGACAGTTTATATGTAATAAATAACTGTTGCTGTCTGCTTCAATCTGAAAATGAGTTTGCATCGAGTTTGTTAGTGGTTTTGTTGCTGCAGGTTAATGTTTAATCCTCCCAGAACGAAGCAAGGTCGTAGGCCATCTTTCTAACAAGAATAAGTCAGCCTGATCCAAGATGGCCACCGCAGTCAATAGGCGTTGGCAAAAACAAAACGGAGCGGTAAAAGTAGTCTAAATATTCAAGAGCTAACCACAGTCCCAGTAAAATTTACTTTAAAAAAAAGTAATAAAACTGATTCAGCTATCATAAAATCAGTTTTGGAACAACTTTAAAGGTTTTATAACTTCTTCACATGTGAACAGATAAGATGTTGGCAATATGTCATAGCCTTAACACAAATGGAACAAACATCACATTTATCATTGCATCAGAAGTGTTTGTCAATGTGACAATTTAAATAAAGTTTATAGGACAATTGATGTAAGTGATCAATAACTTTATGTCCATGCTTTGATTGAGTCATTACTACATTGTTGAGTTTGTGTCTGAAGAGGGTAATTAAAAAAGTGTTGTAGTTTTTGTTTTGATTTTTTTTTTTAACCTCCCTGCAGTGTGGCATCTGTCTCTGTTCCATCTCAGTCTTTGAGGACCCGATTGACATGTCCTGCGGCCACGAGTTCTGCAGATCCTGCTGGGAGGGGTAGGGTCCAGAACTCTTCTGTGCAAATGCTTGCGTGCGTTGCAGCAGATCAGTTTCACTTCTCTCGTCTGCCTTCGTGTGTTTCTCAGGTTCCTTAATGTAAAGATTCAGGAAGGCGATGCTCACAATATCTTCTGCCCGGCGTACGAGTGCTACCAGTTGGTGCCGGTGCACGTGATCGAGAGTCTGGTTTCCAGAGAAATGGACCAGCGATATCTGCAGTTTGACATCAAGGTAGGAACAGAACAAGCAGAGTAACGTGTGCGCTGCTTTAAAGTGTCAGATCTGTGAGTCGAGCTGAAAAATGGCCAGTTCTGATCATGCACAAAGTTGCAGAAGTAAATTATTTACTTTGAGTCATATTTTTGCTTCTTTTGCATATTCTTCTGAGACTTTACTCGTCTTTAACGTTTATTTTATTTTCTCACCTGTCTGTCCTGCAGGCCTTTGTGGAGAACAATCCATCCATTCGCTGGTGTCCCGTGGCTCGCTGTGAGCGGGCCGTGAGGCTCACCAGACCGGGCCCCGGGGACAACGACCCTCACAGCATCCCACTGCTGCCTTCTCCTGCTGTTGACTGTGGCAAAGGTCATCTGTTCTGCTGGTAAACGCCATGATTTACGATTTCATAGACATGGACATTTTTCCTAAAACCCTTAAAATTTTTACAGACGCCTCTTTTATTGACTGTAAATGTATCTGTCCAAGTGTAAGGCAGTTTAATGTTTAAGCTTGCTTCTACCTTGGTTAGTTGCTTTGACGTGCGTCCTCTCTGTTAATCTCCCTCCATGTCTGCAGGGAATGCCTTGGCGAGGCCCATGAACCATGTGATTGTCAGATGTGGAGAAACTGGCTCCAGAAAGTCACAGAGATGAAGCCTGAGGAGTGTAAGCGTGTCCTTCTTTCCAAGAACTTTCAAGAGTTACTAATCGTCTTAGCTGCACCTCAGCACTTTGCCACAAACAGAAATTTGTTTGCAGCAGCTGTCAGGACTTCCAACCAACAAGTCCCTAATATATCTGTTTAACAGCCCGGCTGCTGTTTGCTCATTGTGTGTGGATATGCTCAAGTGTGACTGAGGCAGACGTCAGAGCGTGGATTTGTTGTTTATGTGCGTTTTCCTCAGTGGCAGGAGTGAGCGAGGCGTACGAGGATGCTGCTAACTGCCTGTGGCTGCTGACCAACTCCAAACCGTGCGCCAACTGCAAGTCGCCCATTCAGAAGAACGAAGGCTGCAACCACATGCAGTGTGCCAAGGTACACGCAGAAGAAATTTTTAACTCTTTGGCCATAAAACGTGTTGAAGTATGTTATTTTTAACGTAATTGAACCCTGCTGTCTTCTTTTCCATCCTCGCAGTGTAAATATGATTTTTGCTGGATCTGTCTTGAGGAGTGGAAGAAGCACAGCTCGTCTACAGGAGGCTACTATCGCTGCACTCGCTACGAGGTCATTCAACAGCTTGAAGAGCAGTCTAAAGAGATGACGGTTGAGGTATAAACACACACACACTCGCATAATATACACTGATCTCTGCACATGCTCAGATAATCACATAAAAGCTGTGAATGGTCTAAAATGTCTGTATTGTGTTCATGTAATACACCTGCTCTCATTTTTTCCTGTGAGAGTAACACAACACACAGTTTAAGCTCATGCTCTAATGCCCCACAGCATTAAATGTACTTGGATCATTTTTAATGAAATTGAGTTTATTTTTAATTATTTTATTTACAGGCAGAAAAGAAGCACAAAAGTTTCCAGGAGCTGGATCGTTTCATGCACTACTACACTCGCTTCAAGAACCATGAACACAGTTACAAGGTATCAACGTAGAACTTGATGAGCGCTCCAAACGTCTTCCTGAGAAAGAGGTTTTTATAATTTGTGCGTGTGTGTTCTGTGTGTGTTAGTTGGAGCAAAAGCTGCTAAAAACGGCCAAAGAGAAGATGGAGCAGCTGAGTCGAGCCTTCATTTGTCGTGAGTTTTTGCTCCTCGTTTTTAAAAAATGCTTGCATCCCATCTGCGTTATAACACCGGCTACTAGCTTAAAGTTCATCTACATGCGTTTGTTCTGCTGCAGGTGAGGGCACCTCTCCAGACACGCGCTTCATCGAGGACGGCGTGACCGAGCTGCTGAAGACGCGGCGCATTCTGAAGTGCTCTTACCCGTACGGCTTCTTCCTGCAGCAGGGCAGCACGCAGAAAGAGATATTTGAGCTCATGCAGGTAATCAAATGTGCAAAATGAACCACTTTAAACTTCATCTGGGGATTCCCACAACCTGTTTTGTTCAGTAAATTGTTGCATCTGAGCTGCTCAAAACACAAACGGATGTAAGTAAATGATCTGGTTTTAGTTGAGCTTATTTGGCTTGACTTCAGCAGAGCAGATCTTAGAAAACCTGGGTTGTAAATTGATGGAGAATTTCAAATTTCTGCAAGCAGAAATGAGTCACGGTCTTCTGTGTTCTCAGACCGACCTGGAGATGGTGGTTGAGGATTTGGCCCAGAAGGTCAACCGGCCGTACTTGAGGACGCCTCGCCACAAGATAATCACAGCAGCATGTCTGGTGCAGCAGAAGAGGCAGGAGTTCCTGGCCTCGGTGGCTCGTGGCGTCGCTCCCAACGACTCTCCTGAGCCTCCGTGCAGGAAGTAAACAAAACTCACTTAGAAATGATCTCGTTTTCGTTAACGAGTTCAAGTAGCTAAACAATGATAGAGAGGGTATGGGTATAAATTATGTGGAAAATCACTTTTGTGTAAATCTGTTCCAGTTACCCTGGGGGATCATGGGACTGGGAGTACCTTGGCTTCACCTCTCCTGAGGTAAAACGAGCCTCTTTTCTGAAACTAGACGGTGAAACACTAACATGTATGTTCTGCTAATCTTTTAGTTGATGCTTTCTAAACCTGTGCTCAGTCACTAGCTTGTGTGCGAGGTTTTAATAATGCATGACCGCAGCATCTGCTGACGTAGTTTGCTTATGTGTGTTAAGATGGGAAGCCGTCACTCTGTGCTGGGAGCCAGCGATCACAGAGACAGACTGTCGCAGGTAATGCACCGTAGCTTCCTGGTGTTTTGTGCAAACGCATGGCCTGAATCCCGCTTCCTGAGCTGAAGACTAAACTGCCCAACATAAACCGCCTCACGGGGTAGCAGCAAGTCTTATCATAACCCAACTTGAACGCCTCTTTGCAGGATTATGCTGACATCCAGTACCGTCGCAGACACAGACCTCGGCGCAGAGGAGACATGCTGAGCCTGCACAGCCTCAGAAGCAGCAGCAACACACCGGAGACCAGCAGACGGAGTGAGAACACAGGTCCGGCAGCAGTTTTAACACTTCTTGGGTTCTTTTCTCACCAAAAGACAAAATGCCTGTGCATTTCCATTTATATAATTTATTAATATGTCATGAAAAAGAAGCCTAATCCAGCTTTCTTTGTGCCTCCATTAATAACTTTGACTTGTTGCTGCATCAGACAGCCAGCAAATGGGATTTTACTTTATTGCTCCATCAGTCTGGTCCGATCGAAGAGCAGAGACACTTTGATCACTTGGATCAATTTATAATCAAGCCACTTAAAATGAACTTGGTCTTATTGTGATATTTTGTGTTTCAGAGGGCACCGACAGGACTGAGGGTCGCAGGAGAGCGCTGGGCTCTCTCGATGAAGACGACCCCAACATCCTTCTTGCCATCCAGCTGTCGCTCCAGGAGTCCCGCAGAGAGCGGGGCCTGGAGGTGGGGCTGGAGTTGGATGGAGGGGAGGAGAGGAGGCCGGGTCCTGGAGGAAATCTGGCCGAGGTGGCGTTGCACTCTCTCAATGCCGAGGATCCTCCAGGAGCCAGAGGCTTCCCCATTTCACTCCTGGATCCTCCTCGCCCCCCAAACCGAACAGATTCCTCCTCGCAGCCATCCATTACCAGCTCCCTCACCCTGCCGCCCCCTCCTCCCTCCCTCAGCGCTGAGCTGCTGGAGCTGGGAGACAGTCTTATGAAACTGGGGAACCTAACGACGCCATACGACGTAGACGCACGCCACATGTACAGCCATAATACACTGACTGCTCCTTACACCACTGAACCTGCCTGCAGCGACTGCAGCCATAGACACGACCAGAACGGCCGGACTTCTCCATATGCGCTCGAACACATCACAGATCCTCGTTATGACAGCAACGAGCAGAGCTACTGCCATTCCTCTGCGTATTCGGCCGAGCCTGAGCACACTGCCTTCTGCGCACTTGAACGCACCCAAAACATCTCGCATCCCAGTTCGTATAACCGGGAGCACACATCTGGGTGCGAAGGCGCCCCCAAACCAGACTGCTCTTACCACCCCTGTTCCGAGCGGAGCAGCTCTTACACTGCAGAGCGTCCTGCCACCTACGCTCTGCAGCACCCCCCGAGGTCAGAACCCAGACCGCCTGTCCAGTTGTGCCTCCCGTCACCAGAACTCGAACCAGAGCTGCTGCTTTCCCCGGTCATTCCACCGGGAGGCCCTTTCACCCCCAGTGACCCTCAGAGTCTGGAGACTTTGGATCCCACAGCCAGCGCTCAGCTGCTGGACAACATCATGGCCTGGTTCAACAACAACATTAACCCCCAGAACAACCCCCAGAACCTGGCTCTCATCCCCTCACCGCCTACCACAGAAACAGACTCCTCCCCCGACATGCACACCGAGACAGAGGCTGAGAGCCACACCTCCAGGGATGTGACCCCCGCCCTCATCTGGCAGCCCCTGGAGGGCGAGCCAGAAGAAGACCGGGGGGCAGTTAGTACCCCACCAAGTGCTGCAGGTGCCGAGGGCCCGGAGAGCTCTCTGGAGGTGGGTAGCAGAGACACTGGAGAGGAAGATGTGGGCACTGGGTGTGTGGCTGACCTGTCGCTGGATGAAGTTCGCACACACCCGTGTCCCACAGAGACAGACGTGGACCCTGTCCTGCAGTTGGAGGAGGACAGGTCACCTGAGGAGTGGGAGGAGCAAGAACACTTGGTGTGACCCGGACAGAACGATGGAAAAGACACGGAGTCCACGAGAAAAAGATAAAAGTGAAGTTTAAAGACGGGGCTGAGTGTTTACTGTATGTATCATACTGTATCTAAAGGCGACAGAGAAACGTGCACACTCTGTCCAGTAATCATGATGTCACACAGTCGGATTATTTTAAGTGCTTTTCGTCTGCCTTGGAAACAGACAAGTTCTTTAATTCGATCCCATCAGCAGGAAGCTATGATATCATAACTTAAGATGCCTCTTGATTTATTTTATTTTATTTATTCTTCTCACTCGTATATTTATCTTAGCTTGTGAAGGTTTGAAAGTTTTGGTGCTGAAATCCAAACTTGCCTCGTACCAGAACACTCGACTGGCACACCTTCCCGACCACGAGGCCGATCAGAAGGCGAGGCGGTGGCTGCGAGCTCGGGGCCCGTTCAGCATGCTGTACAATCAGAGGGCCTGGTTCTGGACTCTGTGCCCGTTAGTGCCAACACTACTGATCATTAAAACTCAAAGGTTTACAGAACGCTAATGGAATTCATCTCCGATTATAAGGAAAGTGTGAAACGTGCATTTTTTCCCCCTTTTTTTTGCTCGGCTGAGTAGAATTGGTGCTTTTTCGAGTTATGGATTTTGCTGCTTGCTGCACCACTTTCTACTTGTTTCTAAATGTTCAGAGGTGACCACCTACAGAGCAGAATTTAACTCTCTTTGACTTTTATTTGTGCAAAACTCTTAACACAACCCCCCCACTAATAAACTACAGAAAGTAAGTCTGAGTTAACTGTTGAACCAAATGCTGTTTTAACAATTAAAGGCCTAGCATACCGTGAAGGAATGCATATCGCCCGCTGTCTACAGGCCAGAGATTTAGACTAAACGTACCCAGATTTGAAAAGGAATGGGGTTGAAGCCTTTTTGGTCAAAACTTGTAAATGTTTAGTTTGATCTCATGCCATATCTTGAATTGGATTAACTTCAAAAGTCAATACGTTGTAGATGTTCATCCAATAATTACTTTTTTGGAGTTTTGTTCAAATCCTAGTCGTTCCCTGAGATATTTTGCAAATGTGACAGATGAATTAAAACCGATATGGGGGGAAAACGTTATCCTGAGCAAAAAAACAGTTTTTTGTTTTTTTTAATCCATAGACCATTCCTCAGAAAATGCAGATAAAGCCTAAAACTATATTCTGAATTATATTTAGTTGCATCAAAACAAAAACACATTTATAGAGCTCTTTCAACAGGCTCAGTCATAGGTAGATCACATTTAGTTGTATTAAGTTTAACCATTACATGCTGAGGCATTAAATCAGTTTTTCTCACTATTAACAGTCAATAGATACCGTTGTTTTTGGATTATAAGGCACATTAAGTGAAACAAGTTGATTTTAACAGATTTTTGAATGCCACGTACCACATAAAATCAGTTCGAGGTCATTAAACACAACCAGAATTAATACGCAAGGCTCACTTTCAATTTTTTTGAGAAAAATTAAAGGATTTTAAGTGCACCTTATAGTCCAAAAATACAGTAGTTCTGTTTTTTTTGACAGTTTATGTTAGATAAAATACATCTTGGTTTGTTTGTATTTTAAGACTAAGTGGTTAGTGCATATGTAGGTGGTTTGTTTGGCTGCTCAGATTAACAGTTTTGCACATTGAATATGAGACAAAGTTATTTAAATCCTCTAAATCATAAGAGAGTTAGTTTTTTAAGACGGTGGATGATGCGTTTTGCACAGCAGGTGGCTGGTTCAGTGTGCCGTTATTCACAGGATGAGGGTTGGGAATTCACTGTAGTTTATATTCCTCACTGTAGAGATCACCTCTCGTGTAGTTGAGACCAGAGTTTTGTGGTCTGTGTGCCTTTTTTTCCCCTGGTTTGATATTTATTAAAAGTCTTTTTAAACTTGTCTGAAATGTGATTCCACAGTGGCGGAGCTCTGGTCAGGTTGATTTTACTGCATCTGAAGGAAGTTTTACTCCGTAATGAGCAAAAAGTTTTCTTGAATGTTCGGCCTTAGTTGACCTTTGGTTTTACGAGGATCTCTGTGTACGGTTCTTCGGTCGTCTCTCACTCAGGCTCAAATTTTAAATCTTTATGCCCTGCTAAAACATTTACAGAAGAATAAAACACGACCTTCTGTGGTGAGAAACCATTTAGTGCTTTGTTCGCTGAAATGGAGTGTTTAAATCAAACTGGTGGCTCAAAGCTCTGGTAGAGTTTAAATGGCTCCCTAGTGGATGCTTGATTTTTTGATCATTTGAGCTTTTAGAGATTAGAGGTGATTGACTCTAAAATATACACTTTTTCTACTTTATTTTAATTTTTTTTTTTTTACGTAGCGTGACAACAGAAGCACTGAGTTTGGAGTTTTTATTTTGCACAGGCATATTTTTAGTGCACTGCTCTGATGAAATGCTGACAGGGCAACGCATGGAGGATTTATTTTTTCACTCAATTTCTTTAAGAAGTGCTCGGATCACGTTGAATTTACAGTCCAGTGCCATTTCTTTTGGCTCCACACATCGTTCACTGCTCTCAGCCAACATCTTTTGGAATTAAAACGCACTCTCGTTGATTATACTTGATACATTCCCAGCTGGTTTCAAGAAAAGGTACGATGTGTGGACAAATCGAAGAGAAAAAATAAATGCAGAGTTTACTCAATAAAACAATTGAAAACTTGTTGCTATGTGTGTTTTATTTTATTTTTTAATAAAACTTCTTGCTGGGTGCAATTTAAAAAAAAGATCCCATCTTTATCAGGTTAGTTTGTGCAGTATTACATCACCAATATGGACATTTTGAGTTCTGCTGTGCGAAAGTCTAGTTACATAGTATTTTACTTATTTTTTGCAAAAGAGTCGCACTTCTGTAACTTTTTCAAGTGCTCATGAGCAGTACATCATTAATTTTTCTAAAGTTGTTTAAAGTTTTTATATATATATATATATATATATATATATATATGCTTCCTTTTTCCTTTTGTATTCAGTCCAATTGTTTTTTAAAATTTAAGTGGAATACGTTAAATCTAACATTAACACATAAAACGTTCAAGACAAAAATATAAGGAACCAAATTTCGGGATGAACTAGTGATCATGAAACCCCCTTTTGTTGGACAACTGATGAAATTAACATAATATATCTGGGGTAAAAAACCTTTTGGTATAGCAAAAGATTTCCAAGAGCTGGAAGACTAATCAGAAATAGTCTAAATTAAAATGTGGACAAAAATATTTTGTGTAACGAAAACCAGCCACAATAAAAAAAAAAATAACGATAAAAAAAGCTAAAAATCAATTGGAAATTATATTTTTGTTTTTCTGCCTGAAAGAATGACATGGTCTAATTGAAGTTTGACCTCAAGCCTGTTATATGTACAAACATTTTATTATTACTTACAAGCTGTATTCTAGTTTTAGTGTGCATGTTTCGTTAAACTTGTGTACACATTTACTAATTTTTTCTATAACAAAATACATTAACTTCAGGTAGGATAAAGATAACCTTTAAATATTTCACTTTTAGGCTTGTGTTGAATTTTTTAATATATATAATCTCAACCAGTAGGTGGCAGTAGAGCCAATTTTCAGAGTCGCTTTTTAATGACGTCACACCCCGAACGTTTCTGAAACAACAGCGGCCTGTGGTTTATTCACTCCGTCGCTGCAATTTTTCTCTTCAGTGGAGGATTTCTCTCTGCTGTTTGTCGCCATCATGAAACTCGTCAGGTAAGAGGCGGCGAGAGGAGACCATTAAACCAGTGAGCTAACATTAGATGATAAAATCGAAGCGATGCAGGTAGATGAATTAGGATTACGTTCGACGGCGATGAGGCGGGAAACAAAATGAATGAGAACTGATCACGGCGGCACGTTTGCCCGTTTTATTTCTTTGATTGTAATCTATTTATATCTGCAAATACAGGTGCATATTATTATATCTATGCTTGAAGTCAAATAGCAGCCCTGTCGATATTTTTGCTCCATAAACCAAAGCTGTCTCGGCGGTAGGGTTAGCATAGCATCGGTTAGCGTATTTAGTGAAATACGTATCTCTTTCTTCATGCATTGCAGTTAAATGACTAAAGCAGTTGATTGTGAGTATTGGTGAGTTTAGGGTGTGGAGGTGACAACATTATCCAACAGGCTAACTTGCTAATGCTAAGCTAGTTTCTACTCCAACGACCCAAACTAACCTGACCAGTCCTGTTCACTGATGTCCACAGGTTTTTAATGAAGCTCAGCCATGAGACTGTAACCATTGAGCTGAAGAATGGCACCCAGGTTCACGGCACCATCACAGGTAAGAACTACATGTTTTAATCATTCCTTGTTGTTTAGGAGAGAAAAACACAATCTGTTAAATTATGAGCAAACAAAACAGTAGATGGTAAAGGTTACAAACTGAATATTTTTGTTTGCGAAAGTAGAAAATGTAAATGTCTTACTGTAAATATTAGCCCAAGGTTTAACCAGTGCATTAAAACATGAAGCTGACTGATTGCAGGAAAAAAAATGACTAAAGTGGTAAATCTGAAATGCATCTAAAAGACAACAAAGTTCATGCTCAATCATCCAGGTGTCAAATCCAATAATTCTCAGTCAGGTCATCTGGACAGTTTTTTTTTTTTTGTTTTTAGATGCATGAAGTAAAATAATCTGAGTTGTGGCCTTTAAATCTTGGGATATTTGTGCCATATTATTCATTCAACCTTTATTTCGACAGGTTAATCCCATTGCGCCTCGAGGACTCGTTTACAAGAGAGAGATTAGATGTTAAATTAGCTGCATCTTGTTAAATGAATCAGATTTTAAGCTTTTATACTTCAGCACGCATTATTTAGTTTTCTATAAAGTGGATCTCTTAATTTAGAACTTCTTTTAGTGATTAACAACAAATTAAATCATCTTAATGCCAGCATTTGGCAGTCAGTAGCACTCTTAGGCTCCCTTTAAATTTTGTGAGGCGTCACTAAAATACTGCATCTCACCTGACAGCAAAAGTGAAACGCAGCGCTTTTACCTAATGATCGCATAGAAATATAAAAAATATATTGAAATTGTAACTTTCTGCAGTAAAGCGTCGTCTGCTGGGTGGGAAACTAGTGCAGACTGGTTGTTTTCAACCATTTCGTTCCTTCTCTTGGTTTTGCAGGTGTTGATGTGAGCATGAACACCCACCTGAAGGCGGTGAAAATGACCCTGAAAAACAGGGAGCCCACTCAACTGGAGTCGCTGAGTATCCGTGGCAACAACATTCGCTACTTCATCCTGCCTGACAGCCTCCCTCTGGACACGTTGCTGGTTGATATTGAGCCAAAGATCAAGTCCAAGAAGAGAGAAGCAGGTGAGCAACGTTGATAAATATGCACCCTGTTGTCTCAGATTTGCGTTTTATTATCCGACATTTAACAGGTTGTTGTATTCAGTGCATCTGTTAGTCTTCCCATTCCTTCTGTGTGTGTTCATGCTGACTTAGGCTAAAACTTGTCCAATATTAGCTGGCTTTGATTCATATTAGTAAATATTTTTTTCTTCAAAAGACACATCGGTGTTCTCAAGGCTAAAAAGAGAAAAATCTGAGTGCATCTGGAAGATGATGGGTTAATTACTTGGTGTGTCCTGATGCATGCTCAATAATCCAGATAGAAAATTCTAACTTTTAAGAGCTGTGTCCGATTCCGGCATTGCCACTTTTTATTAATTTGATTTAATGAGTAAAACAGTTTTTTACAAAAAGGTCTGAACTTTGTGGGTTTTTTTTTTTTTTTTTTTTTTTTGATCTGCGGTGACAGGAAGTTGACTTATTTCTGTAATATTTATTTTATCTCTGGACGAACTCTTCTTGTTGAACCGTTTCGTCTTTTATCTGAAATAACTCTTCAGGTTATAATTTCCTTCTGTCTAGCTGTGGCTGTTAAAGGCTCATTTGTCAGTTTATTTGAAAAAAACAAATGTCACGATTAAAAAAAAAAAAAAAAAAAAAAACTTTTCGCAGACTTTGTGTGGATTAACAAAAGTTCTCCATAAAAAAAATTTGTAGAGAAAAAGTGTTTTGAAACTGTATATTTTTTTCCTTTTTAAAGGCCTAAGTGATGAATAACTCCCTGTTTTTATATTCTGGTAAGTGTTTATAATCAATTGTTGCTCCTCAGTGGCTGGACGGGGACGAGGCAGAGGAAGAGGACGTGGGAGAGGAAGGGGACGAGGACGAGGTGGACCGCGAAGATGATCGCCAGACCTTTTTTGTTTGCTTCTCAACATCCAGCTGTTTGTACAGGAGTTTTATTTTTATTTTTTATCTTCTGCTAAGAGGAAAAAATTGTGATTTTCTGTGTGCTTTTCGTTAATGACTTTTCCCCCCTTTTTTGTACATTAAAAGTAAGAGGACACATTGAGTTTCACTCTGTTCATTCTTTTGCTTTTCAAGTAAAAACGCTTAAATAAAATGTCTTTGCACAAAAACCTAGCTTTAGTTGGTTATTTTCAAAATTTCAATAGAGTTTTTTAAATTTTAAATGCACTTGCTGAAACAAAATACTCCAAAGCTAAATATGCAGGACTGATTTAAAAAAAATGGTGAAACTACAAAGTTCAATTCAGTTTATTTATATAGTGCAAATTCACAACATGTTACCTCAGCACTGAACAAATAGTCACAAGCATAAATAAATGCCAAAGTTATTGAAGGAAGGAAGCCAGCAAACTGTTGTCTTCATTTTGTTGCAGCCTCCCATCCCGAGCTAGCACAAAGGTAATAGTGGAAAGGAAAAATCCCTTTTAACAGGAAGAACCAGGCTCAGGACAAGTGGTCATCTGATTCGACCGGCTGGATTTGAGAAGATGGGAAGCAGAAATGGGACAAGTATAGGTGTAATGCCTTTTAAAAGATGGAATGTATTCATTAAGCTTGAACAAATATCTGTTTTTGCAAAAGTTAAACAGGATTCTAATGGTGCCAGTTAACCTGCACTGTAGCAATAATGAACAAAGAAAAGAGCTGATTACAGGTAAAGCAGCGTTGCCTTAAAACCTCCAGCCAGCAGGTGGCGCTGTTGGGACAGGATCACCAAAATTAAAAGTAACCCGCTATTCAACCTGTACACAGGTAAATTAAACTATATCATTTGAAAACATGACTGTTGCCAGCGCTGGTCGCTTCATGTATTTTGCATTTGGGAGCAACTTGTTAAAGGAGAGACTACAGCTGGCAAATCCTTCGGCTACATTCTTCTCTATAGGTCGGCTAAAGGTTTGTGTCCGCTTTTAGAAGAAATGTTGATTCATCTAATTCTTTCATTCAATCTTTATTTAAACAGGTTGGGCTAATTGGGGGGGGGGAAACCCGCAAATGTTACACGTATGGTCAAACCGGAGCCTGTTTGTCGCAAGAATGTTGTTTAGTGTCGAAATTAGGCGAATATTTGAGACGAGGCTTCAGCGTTCAGGTGTTGTGCCCAAAAAAGTATCCATGTCATGCTTGTCGCGGAAGCTCGTATTCGTTTTTCGAGCTTAAGCCGAAAGTGTCAAATTAAGTCGTGGTTTCCAGAGAAGGCTGGTAACAATATTTACAATTATTTCGTTATGTGCTGTTTATGGCTGCAGGTGTTACACCATATTCTGTAAGTACCATTGTGACCGTAGGAGGCGCTGTACTCTTCTGGTGTAAAAATGCAACAGCGGTCGCGGTGGTCACAGAATATGGTGTAACACCGGAACCGAACTCGTATGACCAGCGGTGCCAACATGGATTTTTCAAAATAAAACAAAAAATGGATTGAACATGGAGGGTTATAATAATAATTCAAACAAGTAAATAAAGTCCTGTCACTTTTGACATAAGCTGGTTTAATAAAAATACGGCAGGTACTAACTTTTTTCCATTCAACATTTCTGAGATTTCTTCATCATCATCTTATTTGAGGGTTAATAGATTCTGGCACAACATCCTGCAATACTGCATGCAATTGCACTAAAAGGTGGCGGGTGACATGCATTCCAGTCTAGGAGTCCCCATGTGTGCAGCAACAGTATTCATTGGGTCTGGTTGCCTGAAACATCCCATCATTTCTGGCTCCTTCAGAGTTTTCTGTGTTCACAGAACTATAGACTGAACTTTGGCCTGTGGGCTAAAAACGTGGAAACGATTTGGCACGGCGGAGCGGCCACCATTGAATTCTGTCCAGACTCAGAGTTGTGGGGGGTGATCTGGACTTTGAGTGATGAAGACTCTTCAAACTTAGACAGGTGAAACACACTGACACACACCTGTGTTAACAAGGACAGATGCATCTAAAAAATTGAATATTGGTGAAAAAGTTCTTTTGTTGTCATTCATTTCAGAAACTAAAACTCATATATTACAGATTCATTACACAGAGTGAAATATTTCAAGCCTTTATTTTTTGTAATGGCTTACAGATAACGAAAAACTAAAATTCAGCGTCTCCGAAAATTAGGATATTGTGAAAAAGCTCAATATTGTAGACTACTGGTGTCAGACGTCTCGTTCCTCGAGTCGAGCCATTCCTGAACCAGAGAACATCAGAAGCGTATTACGTGGTTGAGGAGACAAAGAACTGGACTGTTGCTCAGTGGTTCAACGTCCCGTTTACAGATGAAAGTCAATTCTGCACGTCATTTATAAATCAAGGTTCCAGAGTCTGAAGGAGGCTTCCTCTGGATGAGGTCCAGAATCCACGTTGCTTGAAGTCCAGAGTGAAGTTCCCCCAGTCACTGATGGTTTGGGTCCATGTCATCTGCAGGTGTTGGTCCACAGTCTACCAGAATATTTTGGACCACTTCCTGCTTCCTTCTGCTGAAGAGCTTTATGGAGATGCTGCTTTCATTTTCCAGCAGGACTTGGCTCCTGCCAACACTGTGCTGGCTATGTAATATTCGAATTTTTTGAGATGCTGAATTTAGATATTTTAATTTCCATGGGAGATCGGGCATTCTGTGTGGCTGCCCTCAAATTTTTGAAAAGATTGACAAAAATCTTGAACATTTTCATAATAATATCAGCAAATATGTGCAACTTTAACCATGTTCGTTGACTTCCAGCCAGGAAGGCGTGAGCAGTGGAATATACTCTCCGCTGGAGGTTTCTGTGGAGATGGATAAAGGCACCGTGCTCTGCAGGACTTATCAGATGAACAATTTCCACCCATGCCCTCCGTCTCCTCCATACAAACAGGTAACATCTTGTCAACCATTCTACCTGACTGCTGTAACAACCCCAGTTGTGTAGGTGTTGGGTCATTGTGTAAAATGGAAATAGAACTAGAAAGCAATGATTTGAGATCTTCTAAGTCAGGTCCTCTGGACGGATTCTTCTTGTTCAAACATTTTGTCTTTTATCCAAAACTTTGTCAGACTGAGGAGCTGCAACAAACTCAGTCTAATGAACAGCAGCTTCTCATAGTGGATCAACCAGTTCAGTGTTGACAGTCAGAACTAGCTGTTCACTCATTGTAAGAAGATGACAGCTGAACACGGAGACCCCTGCCCCTGTTTATGGATGGATGGCTTCTCCACTGATCCACTGGTCTGGGTTCCTCCTTTTCACCTGATGACTGGCTGGAGTCATGTTTGGGTTTCTTCTCTGCTTTCAGGCCCAGTTAGGATGTCCATCTTGTTCCAGACATAGACCAGTGTCATTCTGTATTTTGCGGGAGTTTCAGAGAAACTGAGGCGTTTTATTTTCTAAACATGACATTCCAGTGGCTTTCAAAGTTAGTTCTGGCTGTCACCAACAAACTTGTTGATCCACTGTGAGAAGGTGCCATTTATAAGACTTAGTTTGTTGCAGCTCCTCAGACTGAAGAAGTATTTTGGATAAAAGACAAAATGTTTGAACAAGAAGAATCCGTCCAGAGGACCTGACTCAACCTTGTTAGATTTTCCTGCCTGGATTATTGAGCATGCATCAGGACATTTGAGATCTTATAAAAACCATTTTAGGGCCGGTATAAAAAGGCATTTTTAGGGAGGCACAATCTCAGAAGTAAAGACGGGCAGAGGTTCTCCAGTTAGTTAAAAACTATATTTTAAATAGTGGAACAGTTTCAGAGTAATACACGTCCTTATAGACCGGGAAGACTTAATATCCTGTCACCAACAGATCATAATTACATAAAATATCAATAATCTGTAGAAATCTCTGTGCTCATGATAAGGCTGAACGTCAATATTGGATGTTTATAATCTTTGGGCCCTCAGGGGCCACTGCATTTAACTGTTCTGTGGTTGGACCAATCCCAATTTGAAATTATATTTGGAAACCACGAACACCATATCCTTCAGACTAAAGAGAAGGACCATCCAGCCTGGTTTCTATGCACAGTTCCAAAGTCTGCCTCTCTGATGGTATAGGGCTGCATGCCAGCCGATGCTAATCCATGTCAACAGCATGGCTTCACAGAGTCCAGGTCCTGTCCTGCACATCTTCAGAGTCCAGGTCCTGTCCTGCTGCACGTCAGACCTCACACCAACTGAAAACATTTGACGCACCATGAAATAAAATGTCAAAGACAATCCAGGACGGATGAAGAACCCCACGTCAGATGAGAGTGGGACAACCTTCCACATCGCTGGTCTCAGGTCCTAGACGCTGAAGAGTGGATGGAGATGTTTTGCTGTCATCAAATTAAAAACACCTCATTTCTTGAAAACGTTTTAAACATTTGAGACATTTACTGTGTTCTGTGAGTAAAGTACTGGTTTTTGAGATTTGCAAATCATGCATTTTTATGTTTCACAAATCCTAACTTAGTCAAAATTGGGGTTGTATGAATTCCACATGGCTTTTTAGCTCAGCCTGTATTTTTTTTTTTAACCATATTTACTAATGTGTCCTGTTTTTCCAAAGGTGATGTGCATGGGTGCAGAGCAGAATGGGCTTCCAGAGGAGTACCTGATGAAGCTGGAGGCCATTCAAACCAACAACTACAGCGGGCCGTCGATCCTTGATAAAATCAAGACCGTCGTGGAGAACGGGAACAGCTTCTGAAGTTAGATATTAGCAAATGTAGACCGAATGTTTTGAGAAAACGGGACGTGGAGCTCATGCCAAGGTTTGTTTTACCAAGATGGATCGAAGTAATTCAACAGAATCAAATACAGGAGCTCAGTGTTTTATTTTATTTATTGTGTCATAAGTTATAGTTTATTGGAAGGAAAGAGGAAGTATAATAAACTGATTAATATAATGTTATGGACTGAAGAGTGAAACTTTATTTAGTCCCGTTTTTGTCAAAGCTGAGTCAGCGTTCTGACAAAACGACCTGGGCGGTACTCCAGGAATCAGGTTTAGTAAAAACGAGTGGTTAATTAACGTGGAGTTAAGAGGAAACTACCATATTTTCAGGTCCATATATAGAGAGAGGTAATAGAAGTTCAGTCTGTCGCCATGGTAACAGATTGACCTGGAAAGAAAGCCAGACTTTCTGCTGGTCTACCCGAAGCAAACTGACTCGAGTTCTTCATTTTTAACCAATCTTAAGAAACGTGTAACTCAGATATCTAATATCAACACAGAAATACTTCATGTTGGACGTCAGGGGAGGATTTTACCTCCTGGACTGAATTTGTTCTTTCCTAGATATTTGAATCGTTTCCCTTGATTTTTCTCCATAACGTTCTCCAGCCTCACAGATCAATCTAATATTTCAGATGTGCTCCTTTACCAGAACAAACACAACAAAATAAAAACTAAAATTTCACTTTTGTGTATTTGGCCTTAAAAAAATAAAAAAAAACCTTTCAGAACTACAAATGCAGCAGATCAGATTGAAAATGTGTTTCCAAGAATCACCTGTGATACACTGCCTGTTTAACTCCTATAACGGAACAATCTTGAGATTATTTGGGGTTAATTAGGGATTAGTGGTCATCTTAAAAAAAAAAGAATAAACCATCTGATTGGTCTTATAGGCAGGTAAAATGTGGAATTCTTCACATTTTACAAGTTCATAAATCAAAGTATTAAAAAATGACGTGATGACAGGTTTGATCCTAACAATTTGGTTTTATTAACTGCTGTAATCAGTAACTTTAAAATAAATGTATAGATTAATAAGATGTAGTTACTAAAAACAAACTTTGACTAAAATTTAAAAAGAACTGTGGCTCATTTAATTTCTTTTAATTCTAAAAAAAAAAAAAGAGGGTTTGTTTAATTGCACACACATACACTTCTTTAAGGTTGAAATACTTGTTTAACTTATAATGAGCTTTTGTGGAATATTATATCTGGAGTTTCCCTATTTGAGTAAATTAACTCCATTTTCTTCCGCTTATCTGGGGTCGGGTCACGGGGGTAGCAGCCTAAGTCCCTCCAGCGTGTCCTGGGTCTTCCTCTGGGTCTGCTCCTGGTGGGACGTGTCCAGAACACCTCACCAGGGAGGCGTCCAGGAGCATCCTAACCAGATGCCCGAGCCACCTCAACTGGCTCCTCTTGACGTGGAGGAGCAGCGGCTCTACTCTGAGTCCCTCCCGGATGACCGAGCTTCTCACCCCATCTCTAAGGGAGAGCCCAGACACTCTGCGGAGAAAACTCATTTCGGCCGCTTGTATCCGTGATCTCCGTTCTTTCGGTCACAACCCAAAGCTCATGACCATAGAGGAGGGTGGGAACGTAGATCGACCAGTAAATCGAGAGCTTCACCCTCTGACTCAGCTCTCTTCACCACGACAGACCGGTACAGCACCCGCAGACGCCGCACCTATCCGCCTCTCCATTCTTTTTCTCCTGCTCCATAAGTTAACTCAGTTTAAAAACAAATTAGACTTTTCTTTGATGGAAAACCCTGAATTTAATGAAACATTTTAATCTCACACACGAGTGTGGCTTGATTAGGAAAATTTAAATACATTTTTAATGAAACGCATAAAAAGCCCAATTTATGTAAAAAGAAACCATTTTATTTTTTTACAGCACAGTGGTCTTGAACAGAGTGATTCTTTTCAACCTAATCCAACATACTTTCATACTTTTAGGAATATTAGAAAATACTACGGTAGTACAAAAAAAGGTGAAGAAAACAAACAATGCACAGATTACCTAGGAACATGTTTGAAGTCGTCATGAATCTATAGGTACACATTATGCAATTACGTAGACTTGATGGCACAAATTATAACTCGTTCTGGACAACAAACAAAGATAATATCGTAAAAAAAAAAAAAGGGAACAGTTCAAATGTAGTTTAGCGAGAAACATTCAAAAAAATTTGGTCTTTGGAGGGCGAGACAGAAAAACTTGTAACATCTCAAAAGAAAATGAAAGCAAATCGTCTCAAACAAAATGTGAAAAGGGAAGCAGCAGCTGCGCACGATAGAAATTAACTAATGATTATTTGAAACACATTAACCTAAACAAAGAAAAACTACTCCTTTTAGAAACCTACAGCCACTGTTGAATGACGGATTGAGTCCAGCTGAACATTTATCAACAACGTGGCGTGTGGAAATTAGAATAAGGACTGCCGGTGCCACAGAGGTCAAATGAAGTGCAGACAACGAGGCTACATCAACAAACTGTCCTCGGTTACAGGATTACTTGTATAGTAGGAACTGCATGATCATCTGTAAACCCCCGTCAGCACAAACCATCACTCAACAGGAGTTTGTGTTTTAAATCCAAACATTTGTGAGATTTGCTGTTTTCAGGTGTTGTTTTTAAACATCGACGAGCTCATTCCATCGGCTGGACCTGCTCCTCTTCTGGAACTTTCTCCGCTTCACTTGCATCCATCGGTTCTGCTGCATCCGCAGACGGTGGCATTTGTGCCGGCGACTCCCCCGAGTCGTCCTCCTGCGACTCGGCTGTGTCGTCCGGCGGCTGCTGCTCTGGGATCTGGAGGTCGTGCTTCACTTTGCTCAGCTCGGTCATGTTGAAGCCCAGGAGGACGGCGACCACGTTCTTCTTGAGAGTCTTCATGCACTTGCTGCGCTTCTTGCCGAAATGTCCCGCCACCTCGCCTTTGGTGACGCACAGCCTCCTGGACAGCTCTTCGGCTTCTGCTTTGCTCGCGTACGGGTTCACGTTGAAGTACTTGGACATGAAATCCCTGCGCTCCTCGCTGTCGCGCCTCTCCGCCGAGGTTGGCTCCAACGCGAGTTTCACGTTGGGATCGCTTTTGGCCGCCGCCTCCAGCTGTTGCTGCTTCTCCTGCAGCAGCTTCTCTTGCAGCAGCTTCGCCTGCTGCAGCTTCTCCTGCTCACGCTTCTTGCGCATGGCAGCCTTTACCTCTCTCTCCCGCTTATTGGCTTCCATGGCCTCCTTCAGCGCAGCTTCCAGCCTCCTCTTAGACTGCAACTCCGCCTCAGACTCTGGAGGCTGTGCAGGGCGCGGAGCAGCAACCACTCGAGCTGGAGCCAAAGCCTGCGCCATCGTCAGGCCTTGTGGCATTTGTAAAAAGTAGAGTCCAGGAGCCTGACTGAGCTGCTGAGCTGGTTTCGGTGGTGGCTGCGCCTGTATCACTGGTACAGGTTTAGGTGGTTGCGGTGGTGGTTGTGGGGGCTTTGGTGAACAACGGCATCTTTGAATGTGGAGCATCACAGCCTGCTGGGTGACCTTTCCAGTGTACACACCATTGCAGTATATGCATTTATAAGCTTCTGTCTTGAGGATAGCGTGAATGGTGGGCGCCACAAAGTGCTTCTGCTTCAGGTGCTGGAGGTGGTTGGTCTGATTCTGGAACTTCTCACTGCAAAAGGGACAGTATGTGCTGCTGACTTTAGCAGGTGCAGAGCAGATGTCATGCTGGTTAATGGGCTGTAGTTTAAAGTAGATCAGTTCAAGAGTATTTGTGACCAGGGCAAGATTGACCTCTCTGTCTCCTATGACCTCTTTTGGTGCCACGGTCGTCACATCGATGTAAGGAAACAGAATCTCCCCATTTCCTTTTGAGTACACCCTGTACTTCTGCCTTAGTACATCACAGTACGCCCTGCTTGAGGGGTTGTGCATCTTTACATGTTCCATAAGCTGTTTGACTGAAAAGAACGCAGCTTTGCAGTACAAACAGTTGAGGCCATGCAGCAGATGTTGGAAAATCGACTTTTCTGACAGCAGAACTTTGCACGTTAGACATTTGACAGTTTTGTCAGACATTTTCTTGAGGGAAGATGATTGGGCGGCCACGGTTTCGGTTTTGAATGAGGATTTTGTCGGATGCGCGGCCTCCATGTGCATGTCGAATACATTGGCAGGGAATAGCTCATTGCAGTGGGGGCACGTGATCCATTTCTTGGTTTGGGGTGCAGAGTTACCCTGATCGACGGATTGGAGGGGAGTGGACACTCTCTGAGAGACGGGCAAAGCCGCTTGCAGTGGTGCAAAAGTGTACGTGGGCATGCCATTCACCTTGTTCCCAGTTGGGATCAGATGATTCTGCAGGGACTGTGAAGTCAGCATGGTACCCTGGAGAGCAACAGATTTTATTGGCTTGGACACAGTCCCGGTTCCAGCTGCCACCTTGGACTGCAGTCCCGAAGGAAGAACGATTTGCTGTGCTTGCTGTGTCTGTTGAGGCTGAGTTATAGCAGCAGATAAGGTTACCGGAGCCTGTTTCAGAGACATATTGGACACTGTGGGAAGCGGGACCACAGATGATCCTTGGGGCAGTGCACTTTGGAGAGCTATTGTGGCACCTGGCTGGAGCAAACCTTTAGCTTCAGCACTAGCGAGCTGCACTAGCGCTGATGCTTGGGGGGGCAGAAAAGCTTGATTAGTTCCAGGAGCACAAATCAGAGTTGTACTGTTTGTAGTTCCCTGTAGTGGCTGCACAGCCACGACAGTCCCAGCAGGCTGGCCATTACTTGGTAAAACTAAAGAGCTCTTGGTGAATATTTGCTGTGTCTGTGGTTTTGGAGCGATGCTTGGGAATGTGACAAACACTCCATTCCCATTAGCAGCTGGTTTCAAGTAGTTCTTGTTCTCAGAAATCACGCTCTGCACCGCTGTGCTGATAGAATAGTGTGCTGGTTCAACTAGCATGTGGTGCAACATTTGGTCTAGAGTTCCAGTGTTCACCTTGCACTCTTTGCAGCAGTAGATCCTTACAGAAGCATTCCCTTGTTGGTGTAATCTGTAACCAATGAACTGCTCTGCCAAATGAGCCAGGTGCTTGAGAATGACGTGCTTCTTCATTGCAAAGATAAAGGAGCTTGGATAGCCGCATCTTGCACACTGATACCTTTGGTTTCCATTATGGATGCGTGTAGAACTTGTCTTCTGTGGCTGCTGTGTAGCGGGTGCCATTGCTGCAGGGACTTTGCCATGAAAGAAGAGCATGTGCTTCTTGACAATCCTAGGGTGGGCAATAAAGAGGCACTGAGTGCAGGGTGCCAGTGCACAGGCTGACTGACCATAAATATGGCAGCGAGCAATGTGGACCCTGAAGTTGTAGATGTTTTTTGTACTGTACTTGCACATGCTGCAGCACACAGAGTGAGATCGATAAGGCCACTAGATAAAAAAAAGAAAAAAAGTTGGTATAATATCAAGCAGTGAGCTTTTTCAATAATAAAAAAAACTGTTATACACATACACATGTACACAGAAATTCAAAATGACTATGAAGGGGTTGCTAAGCATACTCAGTTGTTCATGGGAAACACTGGAGAAACAATAGAATGAAACTACTCAACGTCCAACAAATTAATTAATTGCAAAATATTAATAAGTCAAATTTTTTAAACGAAATATTCACCTTCTTTCGCCGTCGGCTATATCCATTTGTAACGTCGGTCCAGTCCGTTTCCTGAAAGGCTTCCTCTCTATCCGAGTCTGGGGAGTTTTCATTGAGATCCTGTACAAAAACACAAAAATCATATAGATATTTATACATATAAAAAAAAAACCATTGATGTAACATTTCACAATCCAGATTTTTCTAAGACTAAAATTTAAATGAAGTTAAGCTCAAGATGATCAATAAATTAAAACATTACGTGAAGTCAATCTAAAACGAAAGCAGTCAGCATTTTCTGTGTTCATGTTTAATTATAGTAAAGCAGATGTATAATACAAATAACTAATCAACATTAGATTATACATGTTATTGACACAAACAGGTACACTGATGCAAAAATCCTCTTTATTTAGTGTCAAACAACCTCCTTTAAAGATTAATAAAATTACTGTTATGAGCCTTAGAAAAAAAGAAACTACTGCAACATAATTCTTTTGTACTTAAACATGTAAATCATGTCAAGTTATTATATGATTAGCATTGTAAACTAATTGATATCATTTATAAACTAAAGCTGTCCACTGCACAATAATTTCATTGCTGTTTACTCACCTGAATAAAATAATATATAATCGAGTTTAAATGGTAAACACTCAGTCTGTGACTGACCATGAAGCAATGGTTTCACTGTGATCCTAAAACTCTTGAATTTGTCATTTAGGCCCCTGCTGTCATGAATATAATAAAAATCATCATTTGACTTAATTCTAAAGGAAACTGCTCTTAAGCAGTACAAAATTAAAATGTATTACAATGAAACTGTTTTACAAGTCATGAAACTAGAAAGAGTTTTATTAATTTCCACGGTGTTCATTAGAGTAAAAAAAAAGTCAAATTTGTGGCTGTTTTCAGAAAAAAAAAAGACCAGCATTCGAAGGATCAGCTGGTCTCACAACAAAATTGATCAACTTCTCCCGACAGGAGTCAGGGTAAGGAGGACCCACTTACCTCGACAGAAACAAATTGGATTCATGATGACAACTGGTTATTTTGCTGTTTGGTTGGTGAATTCTGGATCGTCTACAAATTCATGTGGATGTGTTGAAGCTCGACAGTGCTCAGACTGAATTTGGGGAGCTGCAGCAGGGAGCTGGAGCAGCTGTTATCAGGACTGTGAACTCACTGGCAGCACTCATGAATGGTGGGAATAATCTTGGAGAAGCTGTGAGCTCGACTTTTGGCGTAAAGGATCAATTCAGCTGTTTTGGAGTTTCCATCAGAGGAATATATACCAGCAAGACTTTAAAAGGCAGAAACAACAATTCACGAGTTCTGCCTGATCCAAACTGTGGCCTTGACGCCGGACTTATCTCAACTCCTGGAATGTTTTGAAAACAAAGATGCTTTGACTGTTTCCTCACCCCTCCCTTCCCCAAGGCCGTGGACATGTGACAGAACCTCAACTGAGCAGATGATGAATGTCACCTCTTATCTGGACAATGGCTGAGGGGGGGCTCTGGACTATGCTACGACTTTCCCTTAAAAATTCAATGTCTTCACCGGCCTATATGTTCATGTATAACGTCTGTTTATGCTGCTTTGCTGTGGTAGTTTTTTTTATGCCTCAAATCGTGCCTTGTCTAGGACACGGCGTGAGATCTTTTTTTTAAATTTTTTATACAGTCTCTCCTCATGCTTTCTTTTCTCATCGAAGCAAAATATTATTCTGAATAAGAATAAGAGGGCCGCGCTATTTAATAGCCTTGTACACTCCGCCCATCTTTCGGACAACTGTACGTACATATTCTCGTTGTACCTCGGTGCAATGTCAAAAAGTTTATTCTGATTCTGATTCACCTTGTGATGGATAGAAAACATCTTCACTGTTGTAGATAGCTTTATGAATTACCTCGATTAAGAAAAATAATTTGTCAATAAGAACTAAAACCATTACTCTAAACTGATGAGATGACAACAACAATTGTTTTCTAAAGCTTTTTCCCTAAAACCATATCCAAGTACGATACTTCCAATAACGGCTCCATAAAATCCTCAAGACTTGTGACTATTTTCTCCATACTGTCTATGACCTTAGTAAAGATACACAGTATACAGTGTACATCACCTTAGTAAAAGTACACATTATACAATGTATGTCACCTTAGTAAAAATGAACAGCATACTGTATATGTGACATTAGTAAAATGCACAGTTTACGGTGTACGTGACCTTAGTACAAGTACACAGTATACTGTATATGTGACCTTAGTACAAGTACACAGTATACTGTATATGTGACCTTAGTAAAAATGCACAGTATACTGTATATTTGACCTTAGTAAACGTACACAGCATACCGTAGGGGTTGAACGACTACAAAATTTTTAAACTCGACATTAACATAATAAAACTCGAGTAGAACTCGAGTACTTGATGACATCATAGTATCTAAAGATGCAAAAATAAATAAAACAGCAAAAAATGTCATTTACAAAAAAAAAAAAGACCAACAAAAAATTGGGAGCGTTTATTATGCTCCTACCATTTATCATACTGCAAATAAGTCACAGGAAAAACTAAACTATTAGTTTCCTGATGCATGCTCAATAATCCAGGTAAAAAATCTAAAAAAGTTAAATCTGGTCCTCTGGACATTCAAAAACACCCAAAACAAAGCAAATCAACAAAAAAATGTAGAAACGTTTCGTCTCTCGTCCGAGAGACTTCTTCAGTCTGAGGTGCTGTATTCAGCTCAGTCTCTTAAATAGCACCTTCTCAGAGTGGATCAACCAGTTTTGCTGCTGACAACCAAAACCAGCTGATCGCATGCTCAAGAAGGACCATCAGCCTAACAATGGATCATTAGCACACTGATGGCTGTTTACTACTCAGAGGGCTGAGTGATACTAGCAATCACAGCATTGTAAGAGGGGGACAGTTGAACACGTAGGCCTCCACCCCTGTTTAACGATGGACGGTTTCTTTTCACAAAGATGACCTCCTTTACTCCTCTCTCAAACCATCGTTCCTCTCTATCCATGATGGGCACATCTTCATCCCTAAAAGAGTGACCGCTGGCCTGGAGATGAGTGTAGACCGCAGAGTCCTGGCCTGATGATGTTGATCTTCTGTGCTGGGCCATCCTTTTGGCCAGTGGCTGTTTTGTTTCCCCGATGTACGACTGATCACAGCCCTCCTGACACTGAACAGCATAGAACAGAGTAATATTGTGTATGCTGTTCAGTGTCAGGAGGGCTGTGTGTTTCTTACATCGGGAAACTAAACAGCCACTGGCCAAAAGGATGGCCCAGCACAGAAGATCAACATCATCAGGCCAGGACTCTGCGGTCTACACTCATCTCCAGGCCAGCGGTCACTCTTTCAGGGATGAAGATGTGCACATCCTGGATAGAGAGGAACCATGGTTTGAGAGAGGAGTAAAGGAGGCCATCTTTGTGAAAAGAAACCGTCCATCATTAAACAGGGGTGGAGGCCTACGTGTTCAACTGTCCCCCTCTTGCAATGCTGTGATTGCTAGTATCACTCAGCCCTCTGTGAATAGTAAACAGCCATCAGTGTGCTAATGATCCATTGTTAGGCTGATGGTCCTTCTTGAGCATGTGATCAGCTGGTTTTGGTTGTCAGCAGCAAAACTGGTTGATCCACTCTGAGAAGGTGCTATTTAAGAGACTGAGCTGAATACAGCACCTCAGACTGAAGAAGTCTCTCGGACGAGAGACGAAACGTTTCTACATTTTTTTGTTGATTTGCTTTGTTTTGGGTTTTTTTGAATGTCCAGAGGACCAGATTTAACTTTTTTAAACTATTAGTTATTATTATTAAGCTGCAAACGTGAAGAAACGTGCGGCACATCAAAAACTAAACTGAAAACAGTGGGGGGGTCGACCACCCCACCACCGCCAGCTGTGGTGCGCATTAAGTTTAGTTTTAGAGGTTAATATGTTTATAGTTTTTTTTATAGGTTTAGAGATTAATATTTTTTGCTTTTTGTTTGTGAAACAAGGTCAGAGGAAGCTGGTTTTGGTTCGGTCATTGGACCCGGTGTTACACCATATTCTGTGACCTGCAACAGTGCATGCAACACCGCCCCCTACGGTAACAGAATATGGTGTAACACCGGTTCACAAGGAGCTCCAAACAGTCAGGAAGTTGATTCATTTTCCGTTTTCTTACGGTAGTTGAACCAGAATATTCATCTTTAGTGAAATATTTCCAGACTATTGATGCATTTCTACCCGTTTGTCAAGACTGGGTCTGCTCTGCTCCATCTGTCTGCTTGGAGGAATCCATTTTGTAACCCAGTGATCCCAGTGCGGATCACGTGACACGATGACGTAACGGTGGCGTAATGACGTAACCACGAATACTCAACATGAAATTGAAAACCTCGATAGGTGTCCTATGAATCGATGTGTAGATTACTCGAGTAGTCTGTTAAAGCCCTAGTATACGGTGTATGTGACCTTAGTAAAAGTACACAGTATACTGTGTATGTGACCTTAAAAATACACAGTATACGGTATATTTGACCTTTGTAAAAGTACACAGTTTAGTGTTCTCTAATGAAACTTTGAAGTTGTAAGAAGACTTTAACCTGCACAATCAAGGACAACATCGTTCTGAAGGAAGAGGCGGTTTTAAACAACTTTTCTCTAGTTCACTTTTATGTCATTTCAGTGTTTTCAGTTGACAGGTTGTCAGATATATTTAAAAAATATACATAGTACAGGAAGTCCTTTGCAAAGTTTAAATTAACTTGTTTTTTAATTTACCAGACTGATAGCTTTCTCACCTAAAATGATTATTTCATTTAAAAAGGGATTATATTTACAGGATTTCAGCTCATGTACTAATTTAATACTACCGGTATTTATTTTCACATTTGATCACTTATTAGTTTGCATTTATCACAGTATAATTTACTTCTCAGTATGTTTCTAAATATAATCATGTTTAGCTCATCCAAACAGACACAACACCTTATTGTTGTTAAAGCACCATGTAAAATTGAATTTATTTAGACATTTATGACAAAACTAAAACGCCTGAAACTGACTCACAGAGAGAAATTTGTAAGTTTTGGGGAAAAATGTAAG